CTGGCGGGGAGGAGGAGGAGGAGCACCAGGCCTCCGGGCCCCGGCACCGCCGCCCGCAGGTAATGAGGGAGGGTGGGGGAGGGCGAACGGGCAGCCCGGCCCGAGTGGGAGCACTGGCCAGCCGCTGCTCGCCGCCTGTGCCCTCGGGGTGCGCCCGCGCAGGAGCTGACACTGCGTGTCCCCCATCTGGCCGCTGGACGGAAAGGAAAGCTTGGTCTGGTCACCCCCATCCGCCCCGGGAGACACCCCACAGAGTCCATTTAATTCTTCGGGGAGGAGACTGGTCTTGGGCTCCACAGTTCAGGAGAAATTACCCTGATCTTCCAGGATGTGCTTCCCGTCGTTTGCATGCCCATTTGCCCAACACCCTAACCCAGAGAAGGCAGAGGTTTTACCTCCGCTCACCTGGGCGAGGCAAGGAGCCCGAGACCTGACTGTTTTTCCCCCTCTAGTGCCCTGCTTTTTTTTTTTCTCCTCTGGTATTGGAAAAAAAGGATGGCACTTATTAAAAAAAAAAAAAAAAATCACCTCTTTTCTATTCCTACCTGAGGATCACTCAGCATCTAGTCATTTTTTGCTGGCCTAACTAGAAAAATGGGTTACCTGAAGTGAGATGACAGGTACGTTAGAACTGAGGAAAGGAAATTACATCCTCGTGTTATATGACTCTTAACCAGAATTTAGAATAAAGCCCAATAATTGTGTACTTTATTGGAACTTGTTTATAAAAATGAAGGCAAAAATTTTTTTCAAACGTATGGGTAGATGAGTAGATCTGTTGCGTTCAGGAAAAAAATTCTCTTTGACTTCCACTTATTTTCTTACTGTTTTATTTGGATATAGGCTAATACCAAAAGTAAACTTCATAATTTGATAGATGGCAAATAGTTTGGATAGATAAGAGATTTTTATGGTTTCCTTTTGCCTAGGGTTTTAGTTGGAATTATTGGATTTTAAAAAATTTTATACAAATCTTCATTTTCCCCATTCACATTGACTGCCAGTGGATATTTAATTTTACCTAATGTAGTTTCCTTATCATGGAAAGTGAAAATAATGAAAGGAATGTTTCCCTGTAGTCTTGTATTTTAGGATGATTACATTAATTATAGAAACCAGATTTACTTATTTTGTGCAACATTGGTAGGCATTTTACAGTGTACTTAAATCTCAGAACACCCTAATGACTTAGATATTATTCCTTGAGTTTTATAGATGAGACAGAACTTGTGATATTAAGTAACTTGCCTTAGGCCACACATCTAGTTAAGTAATAGAGGTGAGATTAATACCCAGATATAATTCCAGTGTTGGTGTATTTTCTACTGGACCTCTCAGTACAGTTTTTTAAAAAAACTTTATTATAAAAATTTCAGTCTCAATGGAAATTGAGAAAAAAATGAATACTCCCACTACCTAGAGTCAGTGATTAACATTTTTGTCTTATTGTTCCCCCTCTTTTCTCCCTTTTCTCTGTGTCTCTCAGTGTGTAACCATTTGAAAGTAAGTTGCAAACATCATGCATGCATTCTCTAAAAACAAGCATATTCTCCTAACCCCAATTATCAACATGCAAATTTCCTCAGTATTCCAAAGTCTCTTTAGGATATCTTACCCCTTCCCCTAGCTGAATTCAGTCAAGATTCATGCATTTCATTTGATGATTATGCCTTTAGTCCTTAAAAAAATAGTATCCATCTCCTTTTTCTCTGGCAATTGACCAAATTAGTTGTCTTATAGACTACTCCCACATTCTGGATTTGTCTGTTTCCCTATAGTGCCATTTAATTTATTTCCTCTGTCCCCCTGAATTTCCTGTTACTGGAAGTCAGGTCTAAAGAAAAGCTTGATTAGCTTAAAGTTAAACTTTTGTTGGCAAGAATGTTTAATAGATGATGTTGTGTACTTCATTTTGCATCATATGTCAGCTTGCCACACTATTAATGATGCTAAATGTGACCACTTGATTAAAGTGACTACCAGATATATTACAAAGGTGTAGTTTACCTTTTTGTGATTTGTATGTAATCTTGGGGTAGTACTTGAACACCAAGCGAATATCCTGTCTTTGACTTTTGCTTAGTGATTTTAGCACCCATAGGTAACTCACATCAGTTATTTTACTGGAGATTTTCTGTAAGGAAGATTTCCTTTATTAACTAGAGGTGAACTAAAGTTTCTTCTAGAAATGCAGAGCAAATGTTTAATTTCTTCTCTTTAATTGTCAATATTCAGAGTAAAGAGCTGGGGAAATAGTCACCCCCAGTGGTGGCAAATGAGATTTTTTTTTTCTTTTTAACGAAGCTATGACTATGGGCTTGTGAGTTTTAATTTATGCATTTTTAAATAACTATTACAGTCATTTTTTTTTAAATAAGAAATTGTCTCAAATTTGGACAATAGGAGCCCTTTCAAGCAGGCTCCTGTTTCTTTCAACACTCCTGCTCTCCATTAGTCTTAGAGTGCTTTTTGGCATTAATTATCCTCAGCTTGCCTTGTTACTTTCTTTGTTTCATATCTGGAATGGGCTGTTTATCTAAGGAGTCTTGGTTCTTTTTAGTGAGAAATGGTATAGAAACTAAGATCTAGGTGTTTGGTGTATTCATTGCTGCTGGAGTGTCATTGCTTTTAGGCCCTTGCAGAGGAAAGAACTAAATTTGAATTTATGAATCATAAGTTCATAGTGATATATCCAGTTCACATTTAACATAACAGACTTTCCCTTGACCTCTTTGATTATCTAATTTTCTCTTTGTCTTAGATGAAAATCTTGGTACCTAAAAAAATTAACATACTTTATCCTATGTTAATTTTTAAAATCATTTCAAAATTGATATTACTACTCACAGTAAACTTCCAAGTCAAGTTTAAGATATATATTTTTTTCTTTAGCATTTTTCTCCTTAGAATATATTACATGAAAGATGTATATAATCAGAGTACTTAAATTAACTGTGTTCAGAAGTCACTTGAAATACTTTGCTCTGTTTGGTTATGCTACCAATTTGATATGGTTCGTTGGCTTCATTTTTTTATTTTAGGGTTTTCTTTTTTCAGTGTTATTTTTGAATATGTAAAATATATACATGGTTCAAAAGTTCAAATAATGTTTTTAAAGTATGCTTAAAGAAGCCTCACTCAAATTAGTTTCTAAGACAAAATATTCTTTACCTTTGCCATACCTTTTAATAGCTATTATGTTCTCATATATCTTAACTACAGAAAGATTAGCAGTGACCAAAGTATGTTACTTGAAGCAATATAGGAGTACTGCTTTTAAATTTTGCAATTAGATTATGATTCCTCTGGCAAAGAAAAGCACTAAGACTAATCTTTAGAGGTAAGCAGAGAAGTAGATTTCAAACTTGATTTTGCAAGTTTTTCTTGAAAACCATTTCTTTAAAGAGGCATGTATGTAGTTGGTAGTTTTATGAATCCACCTACTTGTATGCACGATGAAACTGACATATATATAATCTGCAAATATAAAAGGCATTTGGACATTTTTGGATTGGCAAAATTTAATAGAAATTATATTTATGTCTTTAAGTATGAGTTTGAGAGGGGTCAATGGTTATCTAAAATAAACAGTAAGGCAGTTTATCAGCCAGATGCTGAAAAGCGAATGCGTTTTTATGTGTGCACCACCACTGCCTTTAGTAAAATAAAGGGCATCTGTTTCCTTTAGAAAGTGGAGTGGGAAAATGAAGAATGTGTGTGCTTTGGATCCATTCACCCTCATTCTGTCTTTTATCTCAGTAAAGTAGACTGCCCAAGATTCTTAGAACACATAAGGTGATGAAAAAAAGGCCACTAATAGTAGCATAGATATGTATAACCTCAGAGCAGCTAGAGCCTGTTCTGTTAGATTGAATGAAATAATAATGATGGTGATGATAGTACTAACTTTTGTTGAAACCTTCGATAAATAAAGCACAGTGCTAAACATTTTATCCATCATCTCATTTAAATCTCACATTAACCCATAGATACCGCTGCTGATGTCTTATTTAGCAAGTAAGGAGCATGCTCAATATCCAGGTTTTAAACTTGAGTCTGTTGGTCTTCAGAGTTAGTGCTGAACTACTTTGCTACAGCTGACAACTAAATGTAATGTGTCATAAAATTCAATATATTTTTATTCACCTTGAATTAAAGGAACTACATGACTGGTTTTTGTCCTGTAGCAACACTGAAGATTGCCAAGAGGCCTGTGTGCTTGTCATGTGTATTACACATCCTTAGTATATCAGACCTTGCTTCAGAAACTGCATTAAATACCATTTTAATAGGTATTTTAAAGTAGAGCATCAAAAATCATTTTGGATTGATGGATTGATATGTGATAAAACGAGTATAGTAGAACATTAATGGTAGAGTCTAGGTCTAGCTCTTCAGGCATTAACCTGTAAAATTCTTTGAGTTTGCTGTATCTGAAATTTTTTATAATAAAACATTGGAATGACTAAAATATATTCTCATTATAAAACATTCACAGTTGTATAAAAACCAATAACCTGCTATGCCCTCTATGTTTACAATGGTCTTTTTATTCAACTTTTAGTAAGTCTTCTTGGCCTTGTAAAGGATAAAACTTTTGTTACTGAAAATGGTCAAGCATCTAAGACTATTGTAAAGAGGTTTTCTTTATTAGTTAGGGGGCTCCTAATTAATTAGGTTCCTTCCAGCTATAATTTTTAAATATGTATGAATATTTCATATATTGAATATATATGTGTATATATGTTTTCCCCCTGTCGTTTCTTGTATTTTGTTGACTACTATTGAGCATGCTCTTTATATAAGCTTTATGGGCTGTTTTCACTTTAAATGCCAACACATTCATGACTGAAACAGATAGTTCTTCATGTACCTCAGAATGATTGCTTGAAATTTATTTCCTGTTAAGCTGAAAGCCACATTAATTTTTCATTGTTCTTTAGAAACATTAAAAATACTTCACTCCATTTTAGGCAACTAGCTAGAAATCTCTAGATTCTTAGTCACAGAATCTAAAATAACAATTGTATATGTGCCTTTAAAAATATAAAGATGCATT